AAATCTGCAATGTTGACTTCTTTTTCAAAACCTAAAACTTTTTATCTAAATCTTCTAAATCTTTAAGAGCAAGATATTTTTCATTGATTGTCAGAACTGTTTTCTTTTGTTTATATGCCATGTTATAACTTCTACCGCACTACTTTGCAATGTCTTCGGTTTTTTAATTACATTTTAATGAGATTATTTTGTTTATAATAACGTTTAGTAACATTACGTTATTTTTGATAACGTTTAGTAACGTTACGTTTTGAAATGCAGTGGAGTGGTATTTTTAAACAAACAGAAACTTTGAATAACTGACAGGGTTTTCGTCATAGGGAATCAAAAATTGTTTCGAATAACCAAAATTTCGAATATCTGCGTGTTCGAATAACATGGGTATTTGCATGGGTTTGATAAGGAAAATTCGCGGGGAATTAAAATTTCTTTGAATAAGCGGGAAATTCGAATAAGTGCCAGTTCCAACAACCGGGAGTTTACTGTAATAATAAAATATCTTTTACATGATATATACTTTATACAAGAAAAAAAGAATTTTCAGGTTAGTTATTTGTAGACACGTTTGAAAACAAAATTTAAAACATGTTCCATATGAAAAATGTTTCATTTAAGTTTTTAAATTTCAAAAGGGAAAAAAGAGTAACAAGAAATTTTTTTTTTTAAATAAGTGTTAATATATGTCTTTAAATATATCATTATTCAGCTCAACCAATGCTCTTTTTTCAAGGTTTTTAATTGAAGTTGTTTTTATTTTCTGTTCTTTTAAATTACTCTTCAATAGATTAAAATGAGAAACATTTAAACAGAGACATTATAAAGTTCTATTTAGAGTAAAGTAATTTTTTTTAAATAATTGTTTTTTCTCAACCAGGGGGTTATTCAGAACGCTTTTTGGTAGTAATTATATTCAAGTTTTCAAACGATCTATTGAGTGCCTCAAATCAAAGAATTTTTAATTAGAGGCTATTGCAAAAGTTTACCACATCGGTTGGGAAGGAGGCGTGAACTTCCTATTAAATGCTCTTCCGCGGTGCTCTGTGATAAGACCGTAAGGATTTCTTGGGGCACCTAAATCAACTTAAAAAAAAAAAAAATCAGACACATTAGTCTCAAACAGACCCTCTAAATTCACTGAACCTCCCCTATTTGGGGGATTTGGGATAGCCTAGCCACAGCTCTGATTTATAATATTAAAATATTAAAATTACTAAGCGAGTTAGTCGGAATATAGAAAAGGATCTTTTTCTAAATGTAGAAATAGCCAAAAAAAGATATTTATTTGGAGACAAATAGCTCATTGATTTAACTGTAACCAGTTAAATCAATGAGGAATTTGTAGACCTTGGATTAAGTTTAAACAAAAATTCTCATCAAACAGAATAGTTGGTAGCTGAAATGTTTAATTTAGAAATAACATAAAACAATAAGGCTACCAATGAAAATGTAAAAAACTACCTGGTTTAATGACGGTTGTCAAGTTAAATAGATGGAAAAAATAAAAATAGAAAATAATAATACTTTTTGTTGTATAATAGAGCAAGAAATGATAAAAGTTATTATCTTCTTGTATAATAAACAACAAGAAGAACTCAATTATATATTTTAAAAACATACTTAAACGTATACTTTCTAAATTTAACTGTGAAGCAACTGAAAAGATTCCATAAAAAAAATTCGCTCAAAATGTAGTCAAGTAATTTTTTCTTGTATTTGTCAGGATTAGGATTTTTCTGGTACTTATGATAAAGCAAGAAAACATTTGTTTAGACAGAGCCAACGACACAGAGGGGGGTGGAGCTACTTTTTTTCAAAAAGACTTTTTTTATTTATATTTTAAAGAAAATTCTAGACATAAAGAACTTTATTAAAAATTGAAGATTGTACCCTTTCACTTCGAAACCTGTGTTGTCGGCCCTGATTAGATTCTCCATAATTTTATACTTATTTCCTCAAACATGGCATTAATTTTCAGATTAATGAAATTTAAATCAGATGTCATCTTAGCATTGAAAATGTAAAACTATTCCAAGCTTTTGTTATATATGTGACAGCAAATATTGTTTCAATAGATTTGCAGTGGTCCTGTATAGGCATTTTTGAACGGTTTGCTTATCATTTATTTATTGGACCATTAGTGGCAACCGCTATCAACGACCATAAACTTTCTGACATGTTTATAGTGGCTAGTCATTGGCTAGACTCTTTTAGTTGCTGCCACTAATGGTCCACTAAACAATCGACGCTCAAAACTACAGTGGGCCTTTCAAAAGGCCTTTAAAAGTCCACTAAAATTCCGCTGAAGAATGTCATAAATCATGTTTATTTTGAAGAAAAACAAGGAGATCAAGACTAGTATTTATTCTCAATCAGTTTGTAGACTATGTATTAAAAAATTTAAGAAAGTAGAAAAAGGATTAACATTTGGTATTCCATTGATTTGGAGAGAGCCAATAGATCACTAATTTGGTTTTTATTTTTGTTTGAACCAGTTTACTAAACAAATTTTTAAAACAAATTTGGCTATTAAGTATACAAATTTATCCTCCGCCACTAGACCAGTTTTTTATTCAGATCAGATTTCTTGTTTTGTTACTTTTTGGTGGATTTATAGTGAGCAAATCAATAAAATCTTTAAAATTTCTCTGATAGGGATAATAGTGAGTACATGGATATCGCTACAGGATTACAATCAGCTGTTTTCTCAATGCAAACTAAACAACTTGGTCAGAGATTTAGATCTCTCAAAGTTAAGCTGTTAGGTTCAAGATTATCTGAAAAAGAACTTGCTGACTCAAGAAAGAGAAAGAATTACAATCACTGTTTCAAGAAAAAGATGAGTTTTATTCTATATTTGTTATCTAAGTTAGAAAATGGGCCATCGCTATAACTCACGTGATCAAGGTCTTTTATTGAAAGCTTAAAAGGAGTTAAAAACTTGCTTTACAATGACAGCAAATTAGTTTGTATTTCCATTAGATATTCAATTGTACAGAAGGAAAGTTATGAAATCATAAAGAAGATTTTAGAGAAGATTTATTACAACGAGCATAATTGGACCTGTTGTGATATCACAGCTAATCTTTAATCAAAAAAGCAGCTTTTTTCCTGCTTGAATGCATTTTAATTTGTAAATTAGAACTTACTGGTGTTTGTCTAACATATAGTTTTGTACAAAATTTGTTTTTCTATCTTTGTTTGGATCATCTTTTGTGATTGGACCATCTGTTGTGATATCAAAGCCGACTACAGCGGATCTTTAAAGAAAGATTAAAAATGCACATTTTTTTCTATTTGAATGCATTTTAGTCTGAAGCAGGCATTTTTATTATTGCTCTTCTATCACGTCTTTGCTTTTTTTTACCAAACTATCTGATGACTATTTTTAACTATACTATCTGATGACTATTTGTGATTTGTTTGTTGATGTTCTTAACATACTCAGCTCTTCTTTATTTGTTTTCATGATTGTTTTTTGTAGAAAGTGGCTTGTGCATTTTTTTTTAATGAAAACAATCTGCCTTCGAGGCAGATTTTTTACTTTTTTTTGTTTTTTCTTTTTTTATTTGTTATTTAGGTACCCCAAGAAGACCTAACGGTCTTATCATAGATCACCGTGGGAGTGCATATAACCAGGAAGTTCATGCCTCCTTCCTTACTGTGACGCGAAAATATGTCAAGAGCTCGTTTCGAACCTGGATCTTCTGCTTCTAAGTAACTATGTTAACAACTAAATAATAATTACCACCAATAACATTTGCTACCAGAAGTTAGTCGTTATGAAAGACAATTATTGATCAATAGTTGACATGTCTACTAAGTTCAAAGAAAAACTGAAGTATAAGAACTTTTTATTGATAAATAATTGTCTTTCATAATGACTACCTTCTTGTGGCAAATGTTTGGCACAATATTTGAGCTATTAAAATCTGTTGAATTTTCATTTACCTGGTCTAACTTTCTTTGTTATTTTGCTTATCAAGTTACTGAAAGTTTTGCTTATTAAGATTAATTAATAAAAAATAATCGCAAAATTAACTACTTTAATTGAAAAAGTGTACAACTATTGTTTTTTGCATCCTAATGCTAAAACTGACTTTGTAGAGTATTTTGTTGCCTCTAATCACCCCGTAAAAACCAACAAGCATTATATAGCAAAGTGGAAGAATAATTTGGAAGAACCAATGTCTCGTAAACCTGGATCAGACAGAAAAAAAAAATATGACTGCTAGGAGAATTAATTATTTAAAAAATCTCTTGAACAACCGGGCTAGAACTTCAGTAAGAAAAACTGCACAGAAATTTAAGTGTAATCATTCCTATTGTAAATTTGTTACTTATAGTCAGGGGGGGGGGAATGTTTTTTATTTAATTATAGTTCAAAACTTGCTCAATGTGGCTACTCAAATGCTTAAATGACAGCTTTGGTGGGGTGGGACACCCCTACACCTCCTTCCCTCCTTCGAGGCGGCCATACATATAGTAAAAAGAAATTCAAATTGATAAGCATTTAGAGCAGTTTTAAATGTAGTTTGGATGAATTTGATGCAAGTTTAGAAACCATGACTTTGCCATTGATGACGAGTTGTATTTTACTTAAACATAAAAATATTGTAAACTGAAAATGAAGATCAACTGTTAAAAATAATTTGTTCTCGTTTAAGGAAAGTTGAAAAAAATCTTGCACAACAAATGTGAAATAGTTGTTTTTTAATTTCGGGAATACAAATTTTTTCATTTCCGAAATTAAAAAATAAACATATTGTTTACTATTCTGTAGAAAATTTTTTTATTAAATTTTTCTTTGTACTATTACTACATTTTTTTATTTATGCCGAATTTTTGTCGCAAAGATTTACTAAAACTTCGAAAACCACTTTGTCATAACTTAGACATAATTTAAATATTAATATGAAACGAGATAATGTAAATCCTGGGGTTTTGTATAAGGAGACACTGAACTTTTTTTTTAAATTTCAATCTGTAAATATAATAAACAATAACAATAAAATTATCTTTATACACTAACTTTATACAGAGATTATATAACAATCTGATATTTATACAACTTTAAACACGCCCGTGCCCAGCTTTCAGACATTATGTCTAAAAGTTATCTATAATAAACATCAAATATACCTGGGTAAGAGCCTGTTAAACATTTATAAATTAAATGAATTAATTTTTTAAAAATCAAGAAACTCTAAAACGGTTTGATTAAAACAAAACTGTCCGTTTTAAAGCATTTTAAAATCATATATTCACAATCAAAGTTGAAAAGTTGCTGGTAAGATATTGAAATTTGATTATCAATCCCAACATCTATTTCAACGGAGAATGTTTTTTTTGTGTTCTTGACTCTTTGTAAAAAATTCTCCGCTTTGTCAAACCTATCAAAAGTACTAATGTAAACAAAGTCTAATCGTTTATCGTCTTCACTCCGATTACTTGAATTTTTTGAATAATTTAGAAAATTTTCGTCTTCAGTCTCCAAATCTTCTGAACTTTCTTCGTTGGTGACAGGATATAATGTTTTTCGACGTCTTAACTTCATAGCTGGCGACATTTGCAAAATTACAGAGTTGGTTTGTTCAAAGTGTACTCGGGGAAGAGATTGTTTTCTTGTTTCTAAAGTTTCGCAACTTGGAGATAAAATATGATTTTTTAAAATGTGAAACGGCTTTCTTTTCAAACCAGGATCCTAAAAATACATAATGTACATTTTATATTTAAGGAGCAAAGCTGAAAAGCTGGACCAGTGCCGGATCAGGGAAGAGGTTAGGGGGACTGTAGCCCAGGGCACCGCAAATTTAGGGGCCCCAAAAAATTTTAGAGGACTCTTTTTTTTTAGCATTTTTAGGCTCTGACCCATAAAAAGGTCTCCAAAATCAAAAATAGCCCCGGGCTCTTGAAGTCTTAATCCGCCACTGAGCTGGACTATTAAATTTAGTCAACTAATTAAAAAAAAAACTATTAAATTTTGTCAACTATTAATTTGCTTGAAAGTTTAAAAATGTAGATACATGAATAATTTAATATCAAACTTTATTTTATACTTTTAAAAACTTGTTACAAATAAATTTGATTCAATTTTTTATTTTTAATAAACCAATTTATAAAAAAAACTATTTACACCAAAAAAGTTGCATAGTTTTTTATTTTTTGTTTCTTTCCGATTATTTTTATTTATTGTGCCTAATCTGGAAAGTATGGTAATAAGTAAGGGTGCACCAATACATCAGCATTATCATTCGCCTGCCGATGGATTGGCATTGGTCTTCATTGATATTTTAAAACCATAGGCCGATGGCAATTGTTTTGAAAGCATCATTTTTTTTTATTTTTGTGTTTCTATTTGTATGCAAAAATATAGTTATTCCGAAAACAAAAATGATTGGATAAGCCTAAGTTATTACGTAGGCATATCTGTAACCACTAAATCTTGTTTTTTTTTTATAACTTAGAAAAGCATTTGTATAACTTACGAAACAGTGCAAAGAGATAAGTTTCAAATCAAGAAACGTAAACGTAATGTAAAATGTAAAAGTATATATTATACCACATTCTTTCTTTTGATATTTTTGTTTGTCAAAATTTACACATTACTTTTGAAACGTTTATTTTCATCTATATCAAAATAGTATACTAGACTTTTAGTTGCTTTGCACATTGTTGATTTAATTAGTTTTATTTTTTAGTTTAATTACTAGATTATAGTTAGAAACTTATATTCACTAATACACGCATTCCTCAAAAAACCCAAAAGACTCCTCTCTCCCCCACCTTTATAACATCTCTTTTGTATATATTTATGTATATAAAGAAACATTAAAATTTATCGGAAACGTTATACTTGAAAAAAATACTAATTTACCTGCTAGTAAAAAATAAAAGAGCACAAACTCAAATTTATGACCAATGCCGATTTATCGATATTGGCCTGTACCAATCGGCATTGGCCAAAAGTAGGCATCGGTGCACCCTTAGTAATATGTAATATTTAATCATAGAAGACAAACAAGAAGATTGGTTTATATGCAACAACTGTCCTACTTTTTACCAGGCTATAATCAACAATGCACAGTGTGTCAAGGATTGACATTAATTTAAAATTAAAAGTGGAAGACATTTTGCGTTTTCTAGTTTAACGTAAACGAAAATCTTTACAATTAATAAATTATGTTTAGATCATGTTTAAATCGTGTCTAGATCATGTTTAGATCATATTTATATTATGTTTAGGATGTTTAATCTACTTAAAAAAATCAAAACTAACAATCAAAATGACAATAGTTTTAAAAAGTTTAAAAAAATGTTTGTTATCAGCTTATTTTTATTTTTATTATTTTTTTTTTTCGTGTTCATTTTTATCGTAAAAATAGATTTCTTACCTAAAACATCCAAAATGATTATATTTATTTTGTCTCTAAATATTTTGTTTCCAAATGTTTTTGAGGATATTAATATACAATAATTAACCACGTAAGTATAAAAAATACGGAAATTTAACCACTTTTAAGTGATTGCAAGATTAAGCTTTTTTGTTTAAGCAACAGAAATACAATTTGAAACTGCTCATCGTCATTCAAATTTTCTACATTGACGCAAGCAGTTTGTTTTTTGTTAGGTTATAAGTTATTTCGTTTAAAAAACGAGATAATTTGAATAAAAACTCTTAAAAAACAAGATAATTTGAATAAAAACGTTTTAAAAAACGAGATAATTTAAATAAAAACCTTTAAAAAACGAGATAATTTGAATAAAAATAAAGTACTTAACCAAATAGGCATAAAACCTTAAAATATTCACATACAAAATCGTGACAAGAAATTAACAAAGCTTTGTTGTCCAAACATTAAGTACAATAATGGATTATTACAAGCATAGATTAATTTTTAAAATAATAACAAACTATATAATTAATTTTTTAATTTAGAAAGTTGTTTAATCAATGTAATGTCTAGTGAAATTCTCACGTGGTTCGAAACAAAGAAAGCAGTTTTACTGTATAATATAATTACTTCATTTATTTTTAGTTTTTTGTTTTAAATAAAATAACTTTTGTCTATTTTTTGTGTTGTAAGATATTTTAGTTAATTAAGATCTATCGTGTTGTAAAATTTTAAAATTGTTTCACATGCATTTCATAAGCAAAAAAAGTTATTTGTAATAAAACGTGACGTAAAAAACCATGTTTTTGTAAGTAGATAGTAAGTCTCATGTAAATAATAAGGTTGTTTTTCAAAAGATCAATGTTACCTATCAAACGATTATTATTAAGATCAATGATACCTATCAAACGATTTATTAGATGATAAAATCGTTTCAAAATGCTTTTTTTTTATGTTATGTAATAATTACATAACAACAACAAAAGTAATTAAAACACGATTTGGAAATCATTTAACATACAATTATTAGATTAGCTTGGACGTTTTTGTTTTTACACAAAGTCCGCACATGAGGAGGTTTCAAAATTTCCAAGCACTTTTAATGAAAATAAAACTTGTCAATAAACATAAGTTTGGTTTAAAACTGTAAAAAAATGAACTCTCACCTTTGGTTATGGGTACCCTGCGTTGTACCATGACATTTGATTAGGCCTGATACATTGACATATGAATAGGGGTGTGCTATCCTCATATTTGGTAAAGAGTGGGCTTAACATTTAGAGCTTTTGTTATTCCTAGGGTCCGATAATTGTAAACTTTCTCAAAGTCATTTTCATTTGTCATTTATGAAAATGCTTAAATTCGCAGTGTGATTAATGTTTATTTGTTATTGCAATAACAATTAACTTTTGTTTAGCTCGAGCATTTTAAACCTTGTGAGGCAATTATTTTGGATTATAATGCTCACGCATTTTAAACTCTGTTAGGCAGTTATTTTAATTAAATGATTACTTCTCGGTTCAAAAATAAACTAGAAAAACAACCTGACATTCAAATAATTGCTTTGAATTATTTTTGGTGTATCCATTCATTGTAAACCATGTTTATAATGAATGGGTACACCATTCATTATAAACATGGTTTATAATGAATGGATAGAAGTAAATGCCTTTTATTTTTATTTCAAATTTAAGCTAGAAAAACAACCTATTATTTAACAAAATGTTATTGTTCAAAACGTGTTTGATCTTAAATATAATAATAAACTTTATTTCTTGTAAGGTTTTTATGCAACTTTGTCCCCTTTATACAGTCCGTTGCGACTTATGCAATAAAAACCTATTAAGGTGAGTTTCCACTCATCCGCTTTTCTACGGGAACGGGATAGGAAAGGGAAAAATAATTACGTGAGGATGCGTAGTTTTCCTTTGGACATATTAAAACTTATACTACGCATGTCTCTTTCCTGTTCCCGTAAAAAAACGGATGCGCTTTTAAATATTATCCGCAACAGATCTTTTGATTTACCTCAAGCTTTTATTAAGTTTTTTATCAGCTTTTGTTTTGTTTTTTTTCGATTTTTGTTAACAATTGGTTCTCTGACTTCATTAGTTTCTCGTATTTTTTGTTTCTCAGCTTAGCGTTAATTATTTTCAGTCTTATGAAATTCTTTTCACCACTTATTTACTGCAGGAAAGTTATTTTTTCTGTCATTGACTATTACATTTTTTCCAGCAAGTATTAGTAGTATCATGGCAAGAGTGTACACCGATGAAGTTGTTTCTAACTCATTCGTGGTTTGTAAACTTAATTAGACCCTCATTATTTAAAGGTTGAAGTTTGTTGGTTCACAGAACATTGAATGTTGGTGCTGGTCTATCAGTAAAGGCCGATTATAACTAGGGCAATATGTTACCTTAAAAATATATACATACATTTTACGCATTTTAGTTAAAAACATATATTTTGTCTTGCGAAACATTTATTTTGTCAATTGAAAATATAAAGTTATATATTGATTATGAATTTGAATTTATTTATTCAATTATCAATTATTATTAAATACAAGTCGTTAAAGTAGAATAAAATAAACACAAATGCGACTTAAAAGTTGTGATTGTTATTTTAATCGACAAAATATGGTAATAAAAATTGACGAGGAAGAGGGGAATAATGCTCTTTTGTTCTGACGATACCTGCTGCAGTGGTACAGCGGTTGATTTACGTTAAATGATGTTTAAATGCAATAACTGTTGTCTCGTCGACTGCACTTTGTGTTAGTTCGTTCCAACTTTATATGATATGGTTCCGGATCATTTCATATTCATTAAATCAAGAGGTAATTTTAAAAGGAAAGGATAGAGAACGATCAAATGGAAACTATTATTCCAGGATTAAGCTAAAACTATACTTCATGATTGTAAATGCGTTAAAATGATCCGTAAACACTAACACCGACAAATGACACCAAAAACTGGCACCAACACTGGCACCGACAACTGGATGAAGTTTGAATTAAGTGAGTGGTAGTAAAGTTGGCAAAGTAAATTCTTTTTATTTTTATTATTATTTTTTTTTTGAATCAATAGAAGTAACTTTTAAATACAACTCAACTAAAAGAATCGGATTCTACTTTAAATATTTTCTACTGACTTGTTGTTTTATGTCATGAAGACCTAACGCGTCAGGAACACTTTTTGAATGAATGCATCTTTTTAAAACTTTTTGAATGAATGCATCTTTTAAAAAGTATCATTGAATTGTGTCTGTAAATACCAAAGTTGACAAATATGTAACAAAAATGTGGCATAATATTAAAAAAATTAATATGCAGAAAAAAATGATATGTTGTATATGGATTAGTTATTATAATATATTAAATATTTTTAATTATATAAGCCTATGATTTGGTGTGTTGAAATAATCAATATTATTAAAAGAAGTGGTTGTTTCAGTACCTATACGCCTCGTTATTTTAGCACTTTGACCTCGTATTTTTTTAGAACATAAACAAAAGTTACACCCTTTGAAATTGATTTGTTGTTTAAAATTATAACTAATTCTGAATTAGCTATGATTTCTAATTAAAAATTTAATTTAAAAACATCCAAACGCAATCCATATTTTTATTCATTAAATTATTTTTAATGAATCAAATTGTTTATCAAATTACTTTTGATAAGATATTTCTGTAACATAAAAAATCCTTTTTTTTTTTTGATTATTAAGACATTTTAAAAAGATCTTAAGGTTTTGATACGGAGCACTCTTTCAAAGAGCGTTTAACTAGGAGCTTCATGTCATCTTACCTATGTTTTACATATGGCCAGAGCAAGATTTTAATTATGGACTCTTGATTCTGAAGCTCTAACCACTGCGCCATGGCTGCTTAAAATCCTTTACTTTATATGAAACAATAACAAATAAGAACTCAAAACCTATTGGCTTCTGCCTAAAATAGATATTTTGGATAGCGACATTTTGCCATGGTTAGTTGGTACCAATCTCCTTTAAGTATAATGTAGAGTGAGGAACGTTGATCAAATCTTTTTTTCTTTTTGATGTTATAGGCATTTTGTGTTTTATTTCATTTTTTTTTATATAAAAAGTTTGGGAAAATCTAAAATTATTATACAATAACTAATAAAATCATTAAAAGTTTATATTCAGTTTTTTTATAACATTTACAACTTTTTTTATTAGAGCATATCGCCAGGGCCAAAATTTATCAACATAAATTTTTATTGCATTTTTTCATTTTTTTAGACTAAAAGACGCTTTCTGGATAAAGTTGAAAGTTTGTTTATATTGAAACTTAAATATTTTATGTTTAGGTTTGTTGAAACTTAAATAATTTATATTTAGGTTTGTTGAAACTTAAATATTTTATATTTAAGTTTGTTGAAACATTTCTCATAGTACAAAACTAAATTCTTAAAAAACGCATTGCTTATTTAATAGACAATATTTATTTTCAAAATATTTCGAAACTTAAAACATTACAACAACAAAGTTAAAAAATGTTATTTGTTGTTTAGGATAGATTTTAACATGTAGCCAACGTGTATTAAAATTAGTTTTCACATAAGGGTTGCACGTTGTATTGCAACGTGCAACCCTTAGCGTTGGAACAACCTGCCTTAAAAACTTTTTAGTTAAATTATCAGTTGATAATGAGTAATATTAAATTGCAAAATAATTTTTAAACTATAGGCATAAAACTTAATTCATATATATCGCAGTACTGTTAAATACCAGTAAAACCACCACCAACACCAGTGAACCACCAGTAAAAATAAACATAAATAAATGTTCAAAATATACTTCGGCTTATTAGAAAGACTAATTTTCACAAGTTATAATTTTTTGGTGTAGCAAGACGTTGAAAATCAGTTTTTGGTCTTCATTTTTGATCTGATATGAATGATAGCATTATGGAATAATAAAAAAAATTATTTGCAATTATCGTAAGTGCTCTAAAACTCTACACCAGCATTCAAATACGACCTTACATGTGTTTACACTAACGCATACACTTTATAATTTTACTTTTTAAATTAGTTCCTATATTTTATCAGCAACTTTAATATGGTTAAATTTAATTGCTTTTTTTTTTGAATGTACGCTTGTCATTTATAAGAAATTCTTAATTTATAAATAATTATTTTATAATTATACACACATAAAACGTAATTTATTAACGCATAAAACACTTAACGTACATAAAACACAAAAGGAAATTATACACATGAAACACGTAACGATATTATAAACACGTAAAACACACAACGTAATTGAGTTTATTTAGATTTAGATGGGGAAAATACGACAATATGTGGTGTATATTTTTATACAGTAAAGTTTTACAAGAAGACATGTACTTTAAGCTTAATTAATTTCCAGCGGCACATATGAGAAGCTAAAATAATCTATTAACAAGTTAACAGTTAAATTAACATTAATATTATGAGAATGTTTGAAGTAAAACTTTAAACAAAAGTAGAATACAATAATAGCTTGAAAAATGATAATTATCAATGATTATTATTTCGAGAAAATAGGGAAGTCAACTTCCTCTTTTAATTTTTGCTACATGGAAAAAATTGTTTTGCAAATAGAAAACATACCGTGGGATGAAAAAATAAAGACCAATGAAAATTTAATATATAAAGCAACTTATAAAGCAAATTAAAATAATTTTAATATTTAAAAATAAATAATTATTATTTTAAAACTAAATTGATGTTTTTCAGAGGCATTTTTACTTAGGCTCATAAAATTCTTATAAATGTCTGTTTTCAATAATATAACAAGTTAGTCGAGAATAATCCATAACACTCTCACCTCGTCCAATTTTATAATATGTTTAGGCATATCATTATGAAAAAAAAAGATCTTTAAAACAATAAAAATCGCAAATTACCTTACAGTAAATATAAAAAATATATATAAACTAACAAAAAATTAATTCCTCATAAGGCAAGTAAAAAAGTATATTCAAACAAATAAATAAAGTATAAATATAAATAATAGAGACACTTAAAATAATAACAACATAGTACAAAAGCTGTAAAATTTTAATGAAACAGCTTGGTTATCTAGTTTGAACTAGACAAAAAATAAGTACAAAAATCAATATGTATACCGAAACAGCTCGACTTCTCAATGATCCTTGAGTTTTAAGGCAACATTTTAACTTTTCCAAAATATCAACTAAGTCAACTACCTCGATTGGAATTGGATGTCCGTTTGTATATCTACATCTCAGAATGAGATCGCTTGAGAATACGTACTTTAAATCAACTTCCATTTATATTTTTTATCTAGAACGTAAATGTAATTACTAAAATGTTAAATTCAAAATAATATCAAATATCAAGCAACAATGTTTTATTATCTATTAAATAACAAAATAATCTATAAAAGAGTCAAAGGTAAAGATTCAGCGTGCTGCAAGTTTACTACTGCAAAGTGAATGTAAATGGCATAATTAAATATTATTTACATAGCTTCACTGTAAAATTTTGCACTTTTGTTAGCTTATTTTTATCATTTTAGTAAATATATAAGTCTAGACTGATTGCACAATTAATATATAACGATACATCAAATGGCATATTTACGACTATTTTTAATAATTTCTATTTAACCAAACTTTAGCGACATTTGATTGGTTATTATAAAGTTCTCTTTGTTTTTCTTTGGAATTTTTTTATCTATTTCCAGTTATCAAAATTATATTTTTCGGAAAGTAAACTATTTAAATGGGTATTTTGAAACAAAATTATATAAGTAGGCATAAAAGTGAAATAATTAGAAAAAAGTACTTTGCTGTGGCTAGAGAGTCAGACCCCAAACTTACTATTGAACCCCAATTAGTTTTGACCTCTCTGTTGTTGTTTTTTTGTTTTAAAACAAAACAGAGAGGTCTAAATTGTTTTTAAATATATACTATAATTAAAAAAAATAATAGCTGAAACGTTAAAACTTTTTTTCCAAAAAAAAGTTATCACATTTTTAACTAGACCGCCTCGACTATCTCAATAACAAGGTTGCCTCGATCAGGTGTGCGTGGTGCCTAACCACGTCCCAGATAAAATGTATAACAGAATAAAACATTAAAGGTTTTCTAATTTTTGCTTTTGTGGTTGTTAAATAACAAACAATTATAAAAATAGATTTTTCAACTTCGGACTCGGAGGTGTTAAATTTTAGTAATATTACTGAAACATAAAAACCTTTTTTTAATCAAAACGTTTTATTGTTATTTTTATATATAAAAAAATATATAGATACTACTTACTGAGTTTATCTTTCTGAATTATTAAAACAGTAATGTTTTTGTTGAAGAGATTTTCAATAAATAAAAAAATGAGTTATGACAGGGATGTTGTGGAATCGAATCAAAAAATTTTATGGTACTTTGTTAATCGAAATTTTCCCGCTTAGATGAAAAAAAAATACTGTGTGTGGGAGTCTCAGCACGCAATGTTTTTTTCATTGTGTGGAATGACGGAAAGCCAATACTATATTTGTGTTACACCAAGTTATAGTTAAATATATAAATGCGCCTTAGGTTGACGTCATTTATATATTAAGTATTGAGATAATAAAAAAACCACACAAAACTTTTGGGAGATATCTATAATTACTTAAAGCAAGCAACAATATAAGTAAAACTTACTACACTATATTATTTAAAATTAAAATTTGCATACATAAAAGTAAAAAAAAAATAAAAAAATAACTGACATAAAAAAAGAAAGGAAAAAAGTTAAAAATAAGAATAAAAATAAAATAAAATAACCAAAAACATAAAATTAAAACAAAAAAACAAAAACTTAAAACAGAAATAAAATATAAAATAATATAACAAAAACATAAAATAAAAAAAACGAATAAAAATAAAATAAATGACAAAAATAAAAATATAATGATTAATAAAGAGAATATACTACTTTGTCCTATTGTCCTTTGTACAACTATTATTATTATTTATTTTTTTTTTTTTTCTTTAATTTTTTTATTTTACAAATTAAGTAAATAAAACCTTTTCACAAATAAAATAAATAAAACAATTTTTAATAAGTTTTTTTTTTTAAATATAAAATAATGTATATAATTTACAACATAGCATGTTTTTAATTTTTATTATTGTTTAAAGAATTTTATACTTTAGAAGCGGATATCTTCTAATCTTCATAATTATATGTTGTCTGTAAATTTGTTGAAAAATTTATTTTAATCGTTTTTACTTGATGTTTTATTAACTTGATCTGTACCGTATTTAACATTCCGTTGTTCATAAAACTTTACCACCAAACCTACTTAATTTTTAAAGACCATAAATAAATAAAAACCATAAATACCGTTTAATAAACTCTTCAAATTTGTTTCTCGTAAGACAAATGGTCTGTCTTCAGTTTTCTACCTTCTACTGATACATTTTTTTATATAACATCTTTTATTTCGTTTACTGAAAAATTCATATAACACTAAAAGAATAACAGTGAAAAAAAAAAAAAAAAAAAAAAAAATATATATATATATATATATATATATATATATATATATATATATATATATATTTATATAAATTAGGTCATTTAAAATCTTTTTAGATGTTCTTAAATACCCCTTAGTTTAAGTACCTCTTGATTCCTCGATTGGTTATTGGAGATTTCTAATAGTAACTTATAAAAATTACTATGGAAACAAAGCTTCCTTTGTAAGTAAAAAGAAATTCATGCAATAATAGGTAAAGTATTTAATTTCACTAAATCTATTTCTTTCACATTAACCAAAAACATATACTGTATATAAATTATTTATATATTATTTGTTTATAAAACTATATTCTTACCTTTTAAAATTTTATTGCTTAAATTATTTTAAAAAAGTATAAAATATTTTATTTTTATAAATTTTACAAATTATTTGCTTTTTATCGTTTATAAAAATCGCTTATAAAAAACGTTTATTCTTTTCAATAGTCAATTTTTTTTTATTTATTTTTGTATATTTTTGTATTTTCTGGTTATTAATGTTTTGGTTATCTTTTGATGTTTTGGTTTTCTTATCATTGTAATATTTAATTGAGCCACCGTAGCGCGGTGGTTAGCGCCCTTGCATCAGAAGCTAGAGATCAGCGGTTCAACGCCACTTCAAGGCCATCGGTAAGAAAAGAGGCGTGAACTTTCCTACAAAGGCTCTTCCGCGGTGCTCTGTGATAAAACCGTAAGGGCTTGGGCACCTAAAAAAACTATTAAAAAAAAAAATTAATCTACTTTATGAGATTTCCGTTGACCTTTTAAAATTCTGCTTGATTTTAATTTTTACAAATAATGTAAACTTAATTTAAAGAAATATTTTTCCTTGCATTTTGTTGTTAAATTCATAGACTTACTAGGCCGGTTAAATAAAAAAAAAGCAATTGCTTTTACTCAGCGTTTTATTTTTGTCTCTAAACTCATAAACTCGTTAACTTTATATTTAGTGACAAAGCTTATAAAATGCTACGGTAATATAAATTAAGAAAACAAACGAACAACAAAGTTTTCATTTCATGACTACAGTCTGTGACATAAGGGGCCATCCATAAAGGATGTCACCATTTTTTAGCCAATTTTTGACCCCTTCCCCCTTTCGTCACCGAGTGTCCTTTTTCTCTATACCCCTCTGGAAAAGGTGTCATAAAATCCTGACCCCCTCCCTATTTTTAATTCCAAAAAAATTTATTTTATCTTGCAATGATGTTTGAATCTGCTGCTACACCTTTGAAAAGTAAAATTAAAAATATTCTCATACATTATCTTCTCAAAAACACATGTTTACGTAGTTTTCCATGTTAATTAAACTAAGATAAAAAATCTATAAAGTGACGTCCTTTTCCGACAACCTCCCCCCTCCCCTTGTCCTTTTTTGTCTTTTTTAAGTCGACCCCTCCCCCCCCCCCCCCTATTTGGATGACGTCCTTTATAAATGGCCCCTAATTAACATTTATCAAGTTTTGGCTTTAAATCGATTTTGGTAAACGAAAGAAAAAATAACAAATAGCAATCAAAATATCAGCCTGATGTCCCCACTTTTACGCGTTGTTTGATGTTTAACATTATTAACATATAAATATATATTTAAAAAGATAGTTGCGTAAAACTACGCAAAAAATAAAAAAATAATTAAAAAGTGAAAATAAATAATGAATAAAAAATCTATTTTAATTTTTTTAAATTAAAAAATTTAATTAACGAATACACTTAAACCTGTTTTTGCGCGATAAAATAAAACGTTAAAAAGAGCGCAACTTCATGCGCAACTTCATGCGCAGCTTAGAGTTAACGCAATTTTTGTTGTTGTTGTTGCTGCTGTGCGGTAAACAGAGACCGAAAAATAACAAGGAATCTCTTTTTTCTATTACCAAAATAGAAAAAAATTTTAAAGAAAAAGGTTTTGAAATTTTAAAGTTCTTTCTGGTTCATTATTGATTGCAAAAGAGTGACATTCTAAATTACGGCAAGGTTTGAGTCCTGCATAGATCTGTTGCCCGGACAGATATTATCTGTTGTCCGGACAGATATTATCTGTTGTCATATAACCGGACTCTTCCTCTAGCCCATCAGCAATAACTGTTACATAATTTATAATGCGATCATGACTTACTGTTTCATTTTGAATCGTTTTGACAAGACCGTTTTCATTGAAAGTAATAAGTTACGATCTTCGTTGATTCCATAGTAAAATAGCAATTTCTGTTGTTAACATTGATGTGTTTTCATTTGTACTTTTGTAAATGATACATTTTGACCAGACATATTTCTAGCATGGGTTTAATGTGAGTTGTATTACTTCAGTAGTTGCTGCAGCAACGTGATTTATGTAGTCCAATATTAAAAAGTTGTTATCAAACAAAAAAAGTCAAGGTTATTGCATCGTTTACAAATTTTTACAAAATCATATAAATATTAGTATTATATCATGTTTTTTAAAAGCTGAGAATATGTCCTGATCTAAAGGTTGTATGAAGCTTGTTGTATTCTGCCTAAAAAAGTTGCTTTAATATTTATTGAGTTGGATATTGAGGATGTTGGTAGGTTAACTATTGAGTTATTAATGATCATAACATTCATTAGAGTTAGTAACATTTTCAGGACAATTTTTGGTCATTTATACGATTTTATTAACATTAACGCCTTTACTCAGTGGGCACGGACGTAAAAAAGATGTCTTTTAAACGTCTTATACACGTTTTGGACGTCTTTTGAACATTTAAAAGACGTCTTTTTTTGGTCCGGTGCCCACTGGGTAACATTTAAATTTTTAACTTTCACATTTTGTTTGAGCCGAGAAATTATAAAAAATAATTGTCAGAGTTTTTTTTTCCACATTATTATTATTTTTTTTGTCTTCATTACTTATTTCATATATACTATATTGACTGACTTTTTATTTGGTAAATTTTTTTTTTACTTGAATAATATTCTTGGGTATCTTCTATTGTAGTTGACAAATTCCTTTTATGAATAAGTTAGTAAAGTAATATATTCCCAGTTTTTTTCTATTTTTATTGAATTTTTTAAGTATATTTTCAATTTTTTTTTGCACTGTAGATTTTCTTTGTTGATTAAGTAAATTCAATTTACTCCGTAATATATTTACTCTTTAACCATAATCACAACTTTCTCTATCTCTCTCTCTCTCTCTCTCTCTTTCTGTATATATATATATATATATATATATATATATATATATATATATATATATATATATATATATATATATATATATATATATATATATATATATATATATATATATATATATATATATATATATATATATATATATATATATATATATATATGTATATATACAGATATATATATATATATATATGAATATATATATATATATATATATATATATATATATATATATATATATATATATATATATATATATATATATATATATATATATATATAAATGTATACAAAGATATATATATATATATATATATCAGATATATATATATATATACATATATATATATATATATATATATATATATATATATATATATATATATATATATATATATATATATATATATATATATATATATATATATATATATAGATACAGATATATATATATATATATATATATATATATATATATATATATATATATATATATATACAGATAGATGTATATATATATATATATATATATATATATATATATATATATATATATATATATATATATATATATATATATATATATACATATATATATATATAGAGTATTTCCTAAAGTATTTAATGTATTTAATGTTTTGTGTTTAAAATGTACAAATGAGAAGAACTTATGAACCTCGATGTTTTTGTAAACCTTTACAAAATTAAACCTCAAAACAAATATAACCAACGTAATAATAGCAATCTAGAAAAACCTATTTGCAAAAATATAGAAGCTCAATTTGTATATTTTATCGTGGACCTTTCTTCTGAAATGAAACAGTACGGCCTAATTTTGTTTTTTCATCTGAATTGACCTATTTTCAAACAATCGATTAAAAAATTATTTTTTCAACAAAAAATATTCTTGAATTTTTTGATTTAAAAAAATTTTCCTCTCCAACGCAAATGTGAAATGCTACCTCTCCAACCCAAACAATGAGCTAATTTAAGTGATTTTTTTACTGTTTTATACTCAATTTATATTCCTTAACAGGTCTAAATTTTTAATTAATTTAACTTTCAAATGTTGCACCCTCAAGCGTTAACGATTAGTAAAAATAACTAATTAACTTCCGGTAATTGTTAACAACTCGAAGTTGCAACAATTTGCAAGATTAGCAGCACAAGTTATTTTTGTTCACTATGTCACGGCTATGGATTATCAATTTTCTAACTTGTGCTAATTATTAACAATTTAAAATTTTAATATTTTAAAATGCATAAAATCGCTCAACCTTTGAATACAAAAAAAAAAACTTGGCATTTTAATTTTACAATACAATGCTTTATAATCATAATTAAAAAAAAATGCTAATAAAGTAACTAAAATAAGTAAAAACAAAGTTAAGAATAAAAAATCATTTTACAGGTCATGACCTTTATATTTAAAAAAATGAAAGAACTTATAGACATTGTTGCGGATCAAGGGTATAGCCTGTAAGATGTAGACTTTACCTTGTAGGGTACAGAACTTTAATCAGTGCGCCATGGTTGTTTTAGCACTGTGCCACCCCAGTGGGCGCAGTAAGTTTTTAAAACGTTCTAAGGACGTTTTTATTAGGTTAAATCTAATAAAAATTTCCAATAAACGATTACAGACGTTTACAAACGTTTTAAACGATTACAAACGTTTTAAAAACATACCGTGCCCACTGTGGCGGCTGCCTAAAACATTTTTGCATGATATTTTACATTAGAAAGTATAACAATAGTTGCGAGCAAATCTTTATTATTTTGTTAATAAAATAATTATTTTTAATAATATCAGATATTCGAGTGAGAATTTTACAAGTCTTAGAAATCAGAGATAAACTCGCCGTTGTTAAATAGTTTGATAAACAGATTTAATTTGTTTTGAATAAAGATGGAAAGCATTTAACATCTTTAATTTTAAAAAAATAAATGTATATCGTTTATGCTGTATATTTATATTTACTACAGAGAAACTTTATTATCAATCTTTCAACAGCGTAAAATGATAAATTTATTATTGTACTTACAATTTTCTAAGCCATATGATAAACTTGGTACAGCCAGATATTCGAACAAATGCACTGTTGACAAAAATCAATATTAAGTTTCGATTAGTTTTTGAAGTGTAGAGAGTCGTTAGTTTAAATTGTGTTTTTGTAACAGAATTTTGACCGGAGGTAATACATTTAATTTTTCATAATGATTCGTTGTTAGACCCAAGCTAAAAATAAGCATTTTTTATGTCGGAAATTGAGATTAGTATGTCTTAATATGACGATGTTTGTAACTGTTGCTAGTAATTGTGGGTAATTTTTATATGCTATTAAAAGCATTCCTGCAATGTAATTCTTGTTTATTGGATTTATAATGCATATATTTTGTGTTACTGAAATATATGATATAATTTATAATGGATGTATTTTGTATTACTGAAATATATGATGTAAATAAAAATTCTATAACTGACAAAAAAGAGTATAAAAAGCCATAATATTTTGTTTGCACGTTTTCAAAATTGTTTTCCTAAAATGATCTATGTGATACGTGCTACCAATTTTGCTTTACTAAAAATGCAATAAAGAGCAAATTCAAAAGTATAAAAAGCAAATTGTATCAAAATACGAAACAAAAGGAGAGAAAGATAAGAATCGAAAGCTGAACTCCCCAACTGTAACCATAGTTTTTATTAGCTTACAAAACGGTATCAGCTAGCTAAAAAGTAATGTGACAAACAGAGCTGGTATAAGTACTTCTTGGCCTTCCGGCATTATAGACCTTCTAACTCCAATTGGTCTTCTAGTTTTTAAATTTAACAGTTTAAAAAAAAAAAATTATTTTCTTTTGTATTAAAGCAACGCACGTGATTTATTACACCAAAACACGTTGTATGATGAAAATATGGCACTATATCTAACACTTTTGTTATAAAGTGATAAGTATAGGTTTTAACACTTTACCGCTTGCAAATTCAGATATGATTACAAAATGCAATCAAATCATTAAGAAACCTTTTGTGAATGCGAGCCCCAAAATATATTTATGTTGGTAAGACTATAATTGAAATTGCAATTACATCAGCTGTTTATCATATAACGGTGGAGGAATTTGAGATTTGGGGTGGAACAGTGTGAAGTAAATATTTTGAGAACTTTTTTTTTTTTTAATTTCAAAACATAAAGTACAATATACACTTAATCTTGTGAAAGTTTCTGTATCTAACTCTTTTTTGTTTTTTACTAATCTTTGACCAAATGTTAAATTTTTTGCTAAAATTGGCTCTAATTAGTTTATTATCAGTCTAAATATGGTACTATATGGTCCTAATTAGGTACTTGATTATAACTTTTTAATTATTTTTTTATTTTTTAATATAATTTCAAATGTGCATTAACAATTTAGAAACATAAGATATCAAGAAAATTTTACATTAAATAAATTGGTTTATTTGCCTATTTACCCAGGACCCAGTGGACACGGACGTAAAAAAGTCGTCTTTTAAACGTCTTAGACACGCTTTGAACGTCTTTTGAACGTTTTGGACGTCTTTTGAACGTTCAAAAGATGTCCTTTTTTTGGTCCGATGCCCACTGGAGAGGCGATTCACACACTCCCCTAAAATTATCTCTATATGTTGGGTAGATAAAAGTATTAAGAGCACATTAAGCGAAAATTAAAACAATTTCCAAAAAAATTATGCTGGATCCAAAATTTTTGTGAATAAATAATTTTTAGGGATCACTACTCATGATTCACTTACATATTTGGGCAACCGAAATTTTTTTTCAAAAACACAGAGGTTTTAGAAATATAGCAAAAGTGCTCAGTTTACACAAACCACCTTGTAAAATGAGCACTTTAAATTAGCTCAAAAAAATTACATTAATAAAAAAAATACTAACCTGATAATATTACGCCACTTTATATTCAACAATACTATTTTGTCTGACGCAAAAAAAAAGAAAAAAAAAAAAAAAAAAAAATTAGTTCGTTTTTTTTTCAATTTTTTAACTCAAACCTTTAAACAAATTTTTTGAATTTAAATTACAAAAAGATGTTTAGTATTGTTTAAAATAATAAAAAATGTTAATAAAAAATTGATTTGTTTTTATTCAAAAAGCAATTAAAACCACTGCAATTTAGGACTTTAAAATAGACAATTTCAATGAAAAACACAGGGTAATTTGAGCATGCTCAATGAGCATTGCTCATACTACACAAAAATATTATCTTTGAACAAGTCAAAACTAAATGTTTCTATGCATTGTTTTCAAACAAATAGGAACGAATTTCTAGCTAGCATATTTTTTTTATTGAAAAATTAAATTTTATTATTTAGCATCAAAATTTCGCGCCACAGAATTATTCATGCGTGGTGATAATATTTTAATAACGCAAACTATTTAACTGTGTTTTAATGAGATGAGAGCCGCTTATTAATGCATATAAATTTACGCTAATTATACTGATTTTTGAACGTTCAAAAACGTCTTTTTAGAACCAAATGCCGGCTGGGAAGGTGCTTATATTACCCTTCCGTCTTAAAATTTATAAAATACATGCATAATCCATTATTTGATATTTTTATTAAAATATTTGTAATTATAATTAAAACGAATTTAATTTATTGTTGTTAAAAAGATATTTAACAGACAGTTAAATTCTGTTCAAACTTTTCTCATATCAATATGTATCGAAATTAAACTGAAAACATTCTTAAAAGTGTTAAATATTAATTATAAAAAAAATGAAATCAAAAAAAAAATCTTATCAGGGTTATTATACTTTAAAGATATTGAGCTATGCTGTTGCTCCATTTAGGAATGTCATAATATACAAAGTCAGATTAATAAATTACTGTGTTAAATAGAAACATTTAGTCAGAGACATGATCCAAAAAAGACGTGAGCAACAGGAAGTAATCGTGAAGAAACATCAGTTTGATTGACATCTTATATTCAACATAATGTAGAATTTTTTAACAAAAGAGTAAATGACATTGCTTCTATGAACTCATAAATTAAATAATAAATTAGTAAATAGTAATAATTTTTTTTATCTACCATCATTTAAGTGATGATATTTTACTAATTTATCGGAATTTTGAGTAAACTTACCCGTTTTATCCTAAGTCTTACTGTTCTCTATAGAATCGAACAAAAGTGTCACCTAGTCTATTAATGGTAAGTTAAGCAGCTATGAAAAAAATAGATAAAACTGAACTTTCGAACACAAAGAAACAACTTTTATAGGAAATAATTTAACGGTGCATTATTTGTATGCATTTTTAAAATTAGTTGTAAATTAAGGTTTAAAGTTCATGATGGTTGTATAAAATTATATTTTTATATTTTATATCTAAAGCACGGCGTTAATTTTTGTTCAAAAATCTGCCGATTGCCAGTTTGCGCGTGTTTTCACGCTTACAGTTATAGTAAGTGGAAATTATGGAAAAATAAAAATAATATTTTAATAAACCAATCAATATCAAAAGTTTTTTGTGAATGGTTTCTATCGGTACGGATGTTTTGCGCTAAACTTTATATGATTTATAAAAAAACAAATGCATTGATCTTAGGTCTATAAACTTCATCCATTTTTTAATTATATCTTGAGATTATATTCTCACATTGATAACATCAAATCAAAATGATATTTGCATAAAAAACGGACACTCCAATTATAATTATACTCCTGAATAAAAATTAATTATTAAAAAATTATTCAAAAAAACTAGAAAATTATTAAGAAAATTATTAAGAAAATTATTAAAAAAACTAGAAGTCTATATGTGAATAGTTTTTTAAAATTAAAGTTTGGTAAAAAACCAGCATTAAACAATCTTCAAAAATAACTTAAAGAAATTCCTTTTAGAACATGCTGCAATGGAAAATTTTTTAAATTGGCTTGTTGGAGGTTGTTTTAATCTCATTGCAGGAAGGTAAGTCGTCAAATGCAGCCTGCCAATAACTGAAAAACAAAAACAAAAACTTAATATTGTCCTATCAAATTATTGTGCATGTTCTATTTTCATTCATTTTGTAAATTCTAATTCATAAATCTAAACTCACTGTAATAAACTAGACTGTTTAACATAGCTTGTTGAACAGCCTAGCTTTAGATATGTTGTCGATTAAATAGTTAATCTTAAGCTTAATTTAATCTTAAGCCAATAGAATAACTTAATCTTAAACCAATATAATAACCTTAAACTATTAGAACCATTAGAACTACATTATACATCTACACTTTAATTTATTCAAGATAAATAAAATGCATATTAAGAAAGGTGTTATCTTGTAGATATTTTTATAACAGGCAATATTTATCAAAACTAAAAGAAATAGATTATTTTTATATTTTGAATATGCTATCTTTTTCATGAAGGTTATATAAAAATATCTTGAAATGATATAAATAAAATACAAGTCTAAAAGAATATATTAACTATTACGAATAAAAAATTTTTTTGAAATATAATATAATCAAAATGCAAAAGGATTTTCGAAATGAAACGAAACTATCATCATCATCACCAAAAAAGTTGTTGTTTGTATATTCTTTTTGATATTTGCCAGCACAAATTTTTTTAATAAACCCATACACATGAGCAGCTTTACAAGCCACACGCTTACAGTACCAATTTTGCAAACCATTACATCTGTGATATCTATTTTAAAATTCACAATACTTGCTTGGATCATGGCTTTACTAAGATAACCTTATCCCAAATATCAAGGTTTATAGTTTGTTTTCTATTAATAAATTATTAATAGAAAACATTTAAATCTGTAAAAATTAATATACTGTTAAAACCTCGTATTAGTATATTCTGTTTGAATTACTAAAAACTTCGTATTAGTATATTCTGTTTGAATTACTAAAAACTTCGTATTAGTATATATGACTGTTTGAATATACTGAAGTTAGTATATTAATTTCTGTTTAAATATACTAATTATTCTTCCTAAAATACTTTTTATTTACAGTAGTACCAGTCTTTACATTCCTGGAAGTCTTTCAATAATAAAACTGTTGTAATTAATAATAAAACTGTTGTAATCAATAATAGAACTCAATAATAAAAATGTTTATCAATTTAATAATATGTAACTAAGTTCAAAAAGTTGTAAAAACATAGCATAAAACTGAAAAAAGTTACAAAAACATTAGAATTAATGTATGCAAAACTAAAAAAATTGCAAAAACATTGGAATTATTCTGTGATCTAATTAGAAAAGTTAAAAAAAACATTGGAATTATTTCAAAATAGCAAAAATATATTTTAAAAAATTGCTGCATAGCAAATCAAATAAATCATTTTTTTATTAACATTATAACTAAAAAAAATTTTTTAACTAAAAAAATTTTATAACTAAAAAAATATTATAACTAAAAAAAAAACATAACGAAAAATATAAAATAAAAAAAAATTAAAGTTATTATAATCATACTAATCAAAATACCTGAGGATAGTTATTGAATAAAATTGATTTTTTTATATTGCGTTAATAATTTTAATATTAAAAAAAATTATATCCTTCAGAATTTTATGTTAAAACTTTATTAAGTATGAACATGAAATAAACAATGAACTATGCCTTATTAGGCCAATTCACCGAGGTTTCAAAATAACTTAATTGTAATTTTTGTTTTAATCAACAAATTATTAAATGGACACATTTTTATTTTTTGGAAAAAATTTTGTATTTGGTTTCCCTATTCGTAGTAATTAGAAATGGGCATAAATTTATTTAACGATTTTTCTTGTGTATTAGATCCGGTTACTTTTCATATTAAGTTATTGTTCAAAACTTTGGCCTGTAAAATATTTATTAATCATTTAAACTTTTATTACTGTGTTAAAACTGACGAAATGACATTATAAACGGGGGTTCGTGATAAGACAGTTTGTGTCTTCTTTTGGGCCGGCTCTTTTATATATAAAAACGATTTATCTTATTTGTAAATATTAACACATAGCAAAGATATATTAACATTGATGTTTAATAATAGTAAATATTGTTAAACATCAATGTTAATATAAGGGACCAGGCTCAACAACTCTACCTCTCCAGAATCGATAATGGTGTATGCGTTTAACTTTATTTGTATATGAGATTTAAATTCAATATGAAATAGAATCTTTCTGAGTCGTAAAGAAATAATTATTTCGTAAAGAAATAATTAATAAATATTTTGAAGTAAGTAAACATTATCAAATCGCATTTTTAAAAAGTTTAAGGGGGTAGAATCGCAAATCTTAGATTTAATTTTTTTTTTCTGCTCACAGAACGATTTTCTGAACAAAAAATCCTAACGTAAACAAATTTGAATATCTATAAATAATATCGAATAACTTTATTGTCTAAACTATTTTAGAAAACTTGAAACTGTTCTAAATAATTATAATTAATTCTGAATAAGAATTACTACTATTATTATTACTATCATTATATTTATTATTATTTTTGATAAGATTTTCTGGATTTGTTGGTGAGGGTTAAAATTAACTCCTTCTGTATATTAAATATTTAACGGTAATCAAGTTTTGGCGTCTTAGGGCGTCAGTATCAAACAAATTTTCGTTTGGCAATTTAATTGATGATGGCGCGTCGTATTCAAGTTTTTCTATCAGAAACTTGAAGATTTATCACGTGACATTTATCAGTATCTTGTGCGCGTTAAACATGGCCGATGCAGAGAATGTCATTGAAAATGTTGGAGATGTTGATAATACCAAAAGTATTGTCGTTTTAGACAAAAAAGATAAAGAATTAGTAGTGGAAGATGAAGTAGTTAAGGAAGATGTTTGTGTTTTGAATGGCAATTCTGATCAAGAAGAAGAGAAGGAAGAAGTTCAAGGTAAGAATATATAATTTTTTAAGTCGGGATAAAAAATAAAGAAAGTTATTAGTAGTTTATAAAGTGTTTCGTTATTGTTTCCAAATATGTAAAAGTATTTCCAGTTGAGAAGTTGATACTGTATCTTTTTGGAAAAAGCAGACAAATGACTGCTTACTAAAGCTAAAAGCCTATCTGGAAATAATGTGAATTCAAAATGAAACTTGTATATATATATTTTTTCATGTGCATAACTAGTTCTTAATCAATTTTATTTAAGAATTCTCTATGTTACTTACTCATTTTATAGTTCTAAAGTCTGAAACTACTCCAGTCCCAGATGAAAAACCAAGTGAGACACCTACAGTAGAAGAGAGTTCTGAATCAAAGGCAATTGAAGAACCAAAAGAAAATGGCTTGATCGCAGAAGAAAAGCCAAAAGAAGACAAAGAAGTTTCGAAGGTTTAGGCAAAACACTATAGAAATGGCCAAATAAATGATTTAACTGCTCTGCTTCATATCTAAGATTTATAAATTTTATAAGGAATTGAAATAACACAAAAGCCATTTTTGAACATTAGAATTTTATAGACTAAAATTTTTATTTTTTTAAACAAAATTGGAAAAAAAAAGTTTTATAAAATATATTCAAAATTATAAAAAAAAATTAGGAAACGAATGATCATTTATTCAATTTTGTGTTATTTCTCTATATAGTTATTATTGTTTTAAGTTTTCTATTTTGTATGTGCTATTTGATTTAACAGGAAGATTCTGTGGGAAATGCAGTAGCTAAACATTACAATGATATACCTGCTGGTACTAAAGAATCTCGCAAGGAAAGTCGTATTTTTCATCTGCGTAACTTTAATAATTGGGTCAAAACTGTAATTATCACAGAATTTTTGGGGAAAATTAAAAGGTTTGATATAATTTTATATAACAGCAGCATTTAACAGCATTTTATATAAAGCTTTTCTTTTACTTATGTTCATATATAATGTTTTCTTCTTTTGTAATTAAACGCTAATCTTGTCATATTGTGCTATACTTAATATCTTACCATTATAAGTCTATAAATTCCCTTAACAATGTTAAGTATAATTCTTTAGAGAATGCCAATATATTTTCAAAGTTTTTTATTATAAACAATAATGATATTTGCAATTATTATTAAAATAATAGCTGAATTAACTTTAAAAATATGTTCAATTTCATAGTGTTTGTTGTGTATCATGCAATATCTTTGAAAATATCTAATTCATTTTTATTTAATATATCTTTATTTTTTGGTCATGAACTCAAAATCTAATTGAAACTACATTTTTAATTATTGTTTCTAGTTAATATCATAATATATCCCAATTTTTAGTATGTTTATAAGCTATGGAATTTTATTTTATTAAGATTTTATAATGCGGCATTATTACTGTTTTTTCTTTTTTAAGTATATGACCGTCTTCAAATATTTCTTTAATAAGCTTAATGTTGTCAACTTTATGTTTATTTATATACAGGTATTTATTTAAGAGTATAATAGGTGGATCATTTTCTAATTTTATAGAAGAAAACGTCTCTCTGATGAAATCAATATATTAGATTTAGCATGTGGTAAAGGGGGTGACTTGTTGAAGTGGCAAAAAGCTAATGTTGATCATGTCATTATGGCAGATATTGCTTCAACATCAATTGATCAGTGCAAAGAAAGATATGCAAAACTTGAAAAAGAATCAAGGAGTCGCCATTCTAGAGAGCGATTATTTACAACTGAGTTTTATGCTGCTGATTGCACTAAAGTATTTAGAAATTTGAATTTTTATAAAATTTATATAGTTATTTATATTTGCTGAATAATTGAGTTTGATTTAGTTTAGTTTTTATGTAATTTTAATCAAAATTTTATTGATATTTATAAACTGTGTAAATGTCTTGGCAAACTAAGCTACTATGCAGAGAAACAAGTTAAATGCAATACAAGGATATAGTGAGGACCAAATTTGAAGTAAGCACTATACCACTACTGGTATGTAGTTGTATAGTGCTTTAACATCAAAAAGCCTTGTTGTCCCAAACATTGCATTTTGATGTTGAAATTTGTCAAAGTTTTCTCTTTGTATTTTAAAAGCACCTTTTATTGTTATATTTTCATATTATCAATTGTACATTTTTAAATTATTAAATAAAAGTATCTATTTATCAAGCCTCCCCAGGAAAGGCGTGCGGTTTTTCATCTTGTATGACCACGCGTGAGTATTTTATTTTAGACAATTTGGTCACAGCTGTTTGCAAGTTTTTTTTATATGCGTTGCCAACAAATGTTTTAAAAACAAAATAACAAAATAGGAATCTAATATAAACCTAAATAGAAAATAATAATAACAATTATTTAAATAGTTTGTGTACTGTTTCTATTTTTGTTTCATCATAGTGATTATTATTTTCGGCAACAAAATTCGGTCAAAGCAAAAAAAAAAGTTTTAAACATTAAAAAGAATGTTTTTCCTATATTTTGTTTTTTTAAAGGGGAAAGAGAAAATATAAATTGTCATCTGTTTGCAAAATATATTTGTATAATTTTAATGTAGCAAGTATATATCAAGGGATGAATCAAACGATCGCGATTTGCAAACCCTGGAAAAATATCTGATCTTCAAAATTTTAGCTTATGCAAAGCTGTGTACTTTGTTTTCAAGGATCAAATTATTGTAATTTCGTTAGCGAGAAAAATGTAAAAACAAAACGAACAATAAACTTACAATTACAAAAGTAATAAAACTCTTGTCACTAACTGCATTATAAAAGTAATAAAACTATAATAGTGTTATTACTTTTTAAAGCACTTATTATTTTTAAAAGTTAATTCACTTATTACTTTTAAAGTTAATTCTTTCTTCAAACAGCATTAGTAATTCCAAACAATAATTAAAGTAGAAAAGCATCTAGAAAAAATAATGCGGATATTCAACTATTAAAAGCTTGAGGAATTTTTACAAATCACTTAAACAACTTACAAAAACGTACTTACTAAAAAGTTAAGCGTTATGTAAAACGTCACTAATAGTCTGTATAAAGGCGCGTTTAATTTTAAAATCAACCAATAAAAATTTTTATTGGTTGATTTGAAAATGAATGTGCATTTTTACATATCATTAGTAACATTTTTAATAATGCTAAACTTTTTATACATTATGTTTTAATAAAATTACGTTAACCTTTTATAAGTTACTTAAGTTTTAAATATTATTTGATTATCCACTATATTTTTCTAGATGCTTTTCTACTTCATTTAAAATTTGGGAGAACTTATCTTATTTGAAAAAAAAAAGAATTATAAAAGTTAGAAGTACGTTATAAAAGTAATAAAACTATTATACTGTTACAACTTTTAGAATGCAGTTAGTCACTAGAGTGTTATTACTTAAGTATTTGTAAGTTTATTGTTTTATTTTTTATAACTTTTTTGCTAACAAATTATAGTTGATTTGCCCCTTGAAAACAAAGAACATGTTTTTGTGTAAACTTAAATTTTGAAAACCAGATATTTTTCCAGATTTTGCATTTCATTATTGCTTAATTCAACACTTGGTTGTTATATAAGTATATTTTACAAATACATTGCAATTTATATTTTCGCTTTCCTCTTTAAAAAAAGTTAAATAAAGGAAAATCATTCTTTTTATTGTAGACTTAGAACTTTTTTTTTTACTTCGCCTAATCTAATTTCGTTGCTGAATGTAACTACCACTCTAAAGAAACAAAAATAAAAACAGTACATAAATTATTTAAATTATTAATTTATTTTTATTTTTTTTCTATTCAAATTTATTTTTATTTTCTATTTTGTTAGTTTTGCTTTTTTTGTATTTAAAACCTTTCCCGTCATGAATAATATTATAAAACTTGCAAGCGGCCGTGATCAAGTTGTCTAAAATAAAATACTCTTGCGTGGTCATACAAGATGAAAAACCGCACGCCTTTCCTGGAAAGGCTTGATATACACAGAGTGCAGAGTAAGACCTGTAAAGCTTGAATTATGTAAAAGCTAGTTTTATATTATTATTTTTAATGATATACTAATTATATCTCTAGGAGAATTTATGTGAAAAATTTAAGAATCCAGATATTAAACTTGACTTGACAAGTTGTCAATTTGCTTTTCACTACTCATTTGAATCCTATTCTCAAGCAGAACTGATGTTCAAAAATGCGTGCAAAAATCTTCGTACTGGAGGTTATTTTGTTGGAACAACCCCAGATGCTCATAAGTTAGTGTAAGTAGAAATGTATATTTTAGTAGGATTTTTAATGTACAATATGTGTTATTATTAAAACTGGTTTTTATGATATGTTTATGAGACAAAAATATTGACTCTAAAATATTTGGTAATAATGCTCTGGGCTTTGCAAATGGTTTTGAATAAATGAAATTTACAAATAAACTATATATATATATATATATATATTTTTATTACTTGATATTTTGATCATTAGAAATAATTTGTTCCATGGTTAAATTTACTTAAAAAGTTTATTAATCTAAGTTTCACTTCAAATTTTAAAAACTAAAAATCTTTTCTAGAAAACGTATTAAATCAATGGAAAGTGATTCATTTGGTAACTCAGTATACAACATCAAGCCGGATTCTAAAGATAACTTTCCACTATTTGGAGCTAAATATATGTTTCATTTAGAAGGTGTCGTTGATTGCCCAGAATTTCTTGTCTACTTTCCTGCTTTTGAGAAGTAATTTTTTTTAATAATATCAATCATATTATAAACTATTCTGATATATAAATTGTTTTTTTTTTTTTGTTTGTTTGTTTTTGGTTTACCATTTAAAAATTGTATTGTTTTCTCATAAAATCACAGAATTGCGGCTAAATATAACATGAAACTGGTTTGGAAAAAGAATTTTCATGAACTATTCAAAGAGCATGAAAAAGAGTATTCCAGTTTGTTATCTAAAATGAGCGCGCTTGAGGTATTATTTAAAAATATTTCTAATTTTGCTTCTGAAAATATTAATACTTGTTACTTATTTACGCAACTTGTGTGAATAATCTTTCTTTTTTTAAACCTTAACAGTAACCATATAATCACAAACATAATGTTTTAAAGGATTACATTTTTCATGTAATGCTTGGTGTCAAAAATTGTAAAAGCTACAATTGGACTTAATTTTTTTTATCAAAAAAGTATTCTTAAATATTTTGAAATTATTTCTATGAATAATTGTTTGCAAAAAAAATTTATTTTCTGTATAAAGTCTTCAAATAAAAAATAACATTAAGCTTTTTTTTATTAACTTATTGTTTATTGCATTTTATATATTTATTGTTTGTGTAATTTGTGTATTTTTTATTGCATTTTATATATTTATTGTTTTTTTAACAAAATTTAAAAAGATTGTCAAAATAGCCTGTGTTTTTACAAGCATTAGAAAAAACATGTTTATTAGTCTTCTCTGTTTAGCCAATGATTTTGTACATGCCAGTATGCAGTCCTCAGAATTCGGGTTGGCAACTGTCAACTTAGAAGTGTTTAAGGTTGGCAAAAAATCGTCCAACTAGTTTCTATGTTTTATGGTCAAACCTTTGTTTTGCGTTTTTTCTGTCGACTTAGTGCCGATTTCATGATTAATGTCGGCAAATTTTTGCCAACCTTATTTTTAATAATTGTAATTCCGAGGGCTGCAGTATGTCTGTCAATACTTGTTTTCAGTACTTTTTTAATAACTCAAGTTTTATGATTCAATGATACTGCATTTGCTAACAAGGTTTAAAATTAATTAATGAAACATAAATGAGTTTTTTCCGGGAATTCCCGGATTTTCAGAAATTTACTTTTAATTTTCCAGAAATTTCCGAATGTTTTTTGTTATTAATTTGAAAAAAGAAATTATATATTATTACATAAAATTTTAAATACAACAACTTTTGCATTTAAACTAATGATTTCTATAATTAAAATTTTCACGAGATCAATTTTGATAACAATTTTTTTTTTTTTTTTTTTTTTTTTTTTTTTTAATTCATTCAAATTAACTTTTATTAGAAATTCGTTTTTGTAAAAAGTTAAATATTCTAAATTCCATTTTAAAAGTTTACAAAAGTTTTTGTAGTTGTTACAGGGTTATTCATTCTTATATGCGCGTCTATTCAATTTTATATGCGTTTTAAAAAAGCAATAAGAAAAAAAAAAAAAATTGTTTAAGCATTTTGTTTTGAAAAAATAATTTACTTGTTTCAAAACAAATTTTTCTTATTTTCTAAAAAATGAGGTTAAAAATACTTAAAACGAAGACTTTTTACATTCCATGATGGTTTATTTAATTTAGTATCAGGTCCTTGTTTAATTTTATTACATTATTAAATTTTTTGATCGATTAAATTATTATTTATCTAATTATTTATTTATATAGATTTAAATTTAAATATTTATAATAATTAATATATCTATATAAAAATTTAAAAGCCTATTTATTATTTATATAAATTAATTTATATAAACAATAATATAATTTGTTTATATAAATTAATTAGATTTTATCGGTGGTTGACTCGCATATAAATGTGCATATAAGAATGAATATATGCGCATATAAGAATGAATAAACACGCATATAAAAGTCAATAGACGGGCATATAAAAATGAATAACCCTCAATTTTAAATGAAATAATTTTCCAGGATTTTTATTAAAAAAAAATTTCCGGGATTTTCAAAAAGTCAAATACTCATCTATGATGAAAACTCAGCGTACGTCAATGACATAATTGGTTACCTATTTAATAACTTTAATATTAGGTTCAATATGTCAAATGTTGGAAATAAGTGGATCTTTCTTTTATTACTTCAATATTGGTATGTATTGGTTGTCTCAATAAGTTGAAGAATTAAAAACGATAAGATAATAATACAATTAAAAATGATAAGATATTGTGAGAAATGGGATTAAAAAATGAGATAATATGAGGTGCCTCACTGGAAAAGGTACCAAGTCTTAGAAATGAAGTTACTGATACAGTCAGGAATAAGCCACAAAATAAAACAAAAATTAGCTTGATAGCATTTTTATTAAAAATTCTACATAGTTTTTCAAGGAAGTGTTTTAAAAATGAAATTACAGTGAAAAGTGACTTTAAAAGTTTAACATACTTTAAAACTATGTAACTTCCACATAATAATGAAGTTATTGTACATTTTGATTATTTATTTCAAAAACTATTACTAAATAATGATAAAACTGCTCGAAAAAAGAATAAAGTTAGTTTCAAATTTTTCAACATATTTTTCTAAAAATGTGTGAAACATTTGTCAACAGGAAGACGAAAGATTTCTACCCAAGAGCCATCATGAAGAAAATCACAGAAAGAGTCCCAGTCAGCTTTAAGGTGGTTGTAAGAGGTACGATGATAGAGAGGATTCAGATAATGAAGAAGAACAAGATCATAGTTTTAGAGAGATCAAACTGATCAGAAGCACCTAAGGGTGAATATGGAGAAACTGAGCACTGACTAGTATCAGAAACAAGACAGGTCAGATAGAGAATGTAAATAATTTGGGTTGTCTGAAAAGTGAGTCGAATGTTGACTATTTGAGTTAGTTTGCTGTTTAATAGCCCAAGCAATTACCTATTTTATTAATTTATTTTATTAATAAGGTTTATTAATTGCTATTAATAAACCATCCAGCATTCAACATCCTAAACTGGAAATCATGTACTAAAAATACATCTGTGACAGCTTAATAGGTGGAAAAGAGATGCGAGGCTGGTCAACAGATAGAATCTATTTACCCCTTAAGTCTTTGCCTAGGAGGCCTTCTACAAGACAGTAGCTGGATGCATTTAAAGTTTGCCCAAGATGAGTATTTTTATCGAGACACCATCTCTAGCCTTTAGTCAATCAAGGGCCCAAGGCAGGGTATGTTTTAAGTGCGGAGTTGGCATATTCTAGCATTTGTCAAAAATGGCATATCCTACATGGCAGCAGGACATAAATCAGATTGTACTGGGTTACATGTTGCCAGTAGCAGGATAACCTATTCTTTATTAATTCTTAGACTAGCAATGAGATTTTAAATAGAAAAATTTAATTTGATATTTTTTTTAAAACTCTCATCTTCTGATTTCATGTATCAAAAAAGTATATCAAATATAATAAATAAATTTTCAGAATGAATTTGCTTTTATTTATTTTATAATTTAAAACAATTTTGGATTCTAATTAATATTTTATTAATTAGGTTTTTCCTGCGCCATCTAACAAGCAGCTAGTAGCAGAAGAAGCTGGACAGTATAAAAATGCTTCTGAATACATGGATAGAAAAGCTACTAAAAATATGCGTGTTGGTACTTTATCTGCTGATGAATGGGAAGCTGCTGGTCTATATTTAGCATTTGCATTTGAAAAAGTTGAGCCACCTCGTCAACCAAGATCCAGTGATCGTGTTGATGACAGAAAAAGACATCGTGATGTTAGTAGAGAAAGTGCTAAAAGCAGAGAAAGTTCTCGAAGTAGTAGGTCAAAAGATAAAAGAAAATCTGATAGCTCAGGACCAGCAAAAAAGTCCAGAAGAGGTAAGACCAATTCTTTACATTTAAAAAAAATTGAAAGAAATTCTAAGTTGAATTTTTTTTAATTTTTCCTAGTTTTGAAAAGCTATTTTTAATTGAAATATTGCATTCTAAATTTTTCTTAATATAAATAAAAACTTACATAAAACTATGTTATTGTTACTCTGTGTTAAAAAATTGGAGTGCTGAAATTACGTTTATTAAGATATTTATGTGTTTACTTTTATTACAAACATAGTGAAACAAATATTAAATGTTGCTCCAGTAATTTGTTGTAGTAAATTGTTCCAGTATTATGCTTCAGTATTTTTGTTCTAAAAATACTGAAACAAGTTCTAATATCTTCTTGTAACGTTCCAGGTTTTATAGTCAGTATTAGGATCATCAAAATCACCCTGCTAGCAGTAATGTAATCCAGTGCAAGCTGCACTGGATTACATTACTGATACCAGCCTTGTGGTCAAAATTTAGGAAAAGTTAAATTTTTTTCTTGCTCTCTCTTTTTTTTTTTTTTTTTTTTTTGATATTGTTTCTAATTAAATTGACTAAGTCCTTCCTCTTTATCCTTCAGCCTATTGTTATTATTGTTGGCTTGATGCTCACGACACTGAATTGCTTAAGTCCTACTGATTGGGTTGCTTAAGTCAGGTTGCTGAGTTGCTAAAGTCAGGTTGCTGAGTTGCTAAAGTCGGGTTGCTAAGTTGCTTAAGTCCTACTGATTGGGAATTGCTTAAGTCCTACTGATCCATAGGATTGGTTTGAGTCCTACTGACCTTGCCAGCTCTAAAGCTAAAATTTTTTGTTTTTCTCAATCTTTTACTCAAATAATTTTCTAGACAACCCTTATCATTACCTTTAATTTTAATTTTAGGTGGATCAGATAATCTCTCTAAAACTTTTATCTTTAAACATTAGTTTAGCAAAAAAATTTTGAACTCCCTTTTTATCTTCAGGTAAAAGTCAATTTGGTGAAACACTAATATGTTTTGTGTGTTTTAAGAAGTATTTTAAAATTTGTCCAAGAAAAACTTTTCATTAAAAATTTTGAACTAAACTGTAAAAATTAATTTCTTTACTAAATAATATTTGTTTAATCAAAAAAAAACAATTAAATTTTACTCATTAACTTTTAACATGATTTTGACAACATTATTTTAAATATACAGTGCTTCCTGAAAGTATTCGCACACTCATAATTTTTTTTTTTACCTCTTCAAATGAGTGTAAAATGGTATTCGGTAAAATTTGAACTGCAAACCGGTAAAATGCAAACTTTTTTGCAAACCAAGACATATTTTAATGACCACTACCGTTATGATATTTAAAAGAACCTTTGCTCGTCTATTTTTTAATTTAAATTAAATATAATTTGATATATTTTATTTAAATTAGATTGTATTTCTTTTAAATTAAATATAATTTATGTTTCTGCTTGAATTCTATATATAAGTATATAGTAAAGTAAACAATTTAACGGTTAACGGAAAATAAAAAATATTACATCATTAACAACCAATAGAACCATGGTTCGCAAAAAAGATTGCATTTTACCGGTGTGCAGTTGGCATTGTACTCACTACCTTCAAAAACAATGAAAGACTGATTGGCAATTATTTTATTTTTTTTAACTTATAAAATAAAACAGAATTATCAATTGTCAAATATATAAAATTGCTTTTTTATTATTATTTAATATTTAATTAGAATAGAATAAGAGTGATAAAAACAATATTTAAAAAAGTGTGCAAAAGTATTAGCACAACTTCAATTTTTCTAAGAAAATTTAATATTTTATGGGATCACTTTTGTTTAATGGCATGCCAAGACTTAATGCGGCATAGAATCTTTTTCATATAAAGTTTTTTGATTAAATCTTGTGGCATGGTATTCTACGATGCTTGCATTAGCTTCTCGAGCTGCGCCAGGTTAGTGGGTTTGCTTTTTTGTAATTTCCTGTCCATCCAACTCCAAAAATTCTCAATAGGATTTAAATCAGGTGAGAGAGTGGACCGAGACATCAGATTTAACTGTTTTTCCTCCATATATTACTTAATTAAGCATGTTGTGTAGCAAGGAGTGTTATTTTGTTGAAATTGCCAGTTGGAGTCAGCTTTGAAAACCTCCATTAAACATCCATTTAAATAATCTTCTAATATCTCTTTATACTGATGTTGATTAAGGCAATCAGTGTAAAGATGATGCATCAGGCTATCGCTAGATCCAGCTATACGGCTCTGAATGACAATTGAACCTCTTTCTTTTTGAACTTTTGACATTATTTTGACAACTTTTGACATAATAAAGTGAGGTTTATATTTTTTCGTTTTTGTATCTCCTCTCAACAATCCTTTTCTTCAGGGTGGCTACTGGTCATGGAGATTATAGAAATGTCATGGAATTTTATTTGGTCATGGAATTTCTAAATTTTCATTGAAAGTCATGGAAAGTTCATGAAACCTTTTTAAATGATTTTTTTTACTTGTGATATTTTTAGGATGCAAAGAAAATTAGTTGTATGTCTAGTCTAAGTCCTTTTTAAAAAATACAGTGTAAGAACTAAAAGAAAAAGTGTTTTTTTCAGACATGATTTCAGAACTTTCTACCATCAAGATTTTGGTTTGCATGTTTAATAATGACCAAGTTGCAAATGTTTAGAGCATGGAAAGTATTGAATATTTTATTTAGTGAGTTATCATAAAGGTTTGGAAAAAAAAGTCATGGAAACGTCATAGAATTTCATTTTTAAATTTGAGTAGCAGCCACCCTGTTTCTGCAATTAATAAGTTCAAAATTCGACTCGTCTGAGAAAATTATTTTTCTCAATTGCTCTTTAGTCCATGCAGCTCTCTCTTTGCACCATTTTCTTTGCTTGAGATGGTCTTGGTGCTTAGTAGTGGCTTCTTTGTTGCAAGTTATGAGTTGAGTTGGTTTTTCTTCATCAGCTTGCTAATTGTTGAATGGCTAACTTGATGTGCACCAATTGCTGTATTCAGGTCTGAGGCGATTTTTACCAGAGCAACTTTTGTCTTCAACTGTTCCAAACTCATTAATGTTTTTGAATCTTGTTCTAATGCTACATTTGCTTATCTCAAATTGTCGTCCAATTTATCAATTGATGAGACCACTTTTTTGCAGGGCAACAACTTGCAACTTTGTTTCAATTGATATTCTCTTTAAACCCATATCTTTGTTGCAATTTTGAAGTTTTAACTTACTATATTTCAAATGATATTTTTGTCACTTTAATTTGGCTTATATTTTTTTATTGACCATTATTAATCAGCAGAGAGTAATTAACAAAAGTTAACAAAAAAAATTTCTTAAAGGAATTAAACGATGTGTCAACACATGTTAAGTGGGTTTGCCAATACTTTTGCGCACTTATTTTCACACATTTTTCAGAGTAGTCATTAAACTTCTAATTAATTCATCGAAAAAACAAGTCGACAAATGTTTGACATTATGATTAAATTTAATCAGTTTTCCTTTTATTTAAAATTAAAATTATTTTTCAATTTATATTGGTCTATAATAAAAATTTTATGAGTGCATCAATATTTTTTGGAAGCACTGTATGTATATAAAAATATAAATGTGTTTTTATTTTTAAAATAAACATATTTCTTTAAAACTCATGCTATTGGCAATTGAGTTAAAATTTTTTCCAAAGATTAAACTATTTAATTAGGCTTGTATTTTTTAAATAGAAATTTCTTTTAATTTTGTTATGTTTGTTATACAATTAGGTGTGATAACTCGTGATAAAATTGTGATAAAATTATTTTGATTTTTTTTCAAGAATATTATTAGAGCATTTTATAAGTGTTGTGTTTATGAAACATGGTTGTCGCAGTGATTGTTGAAAATTAATTACTTTGTTGTAGCTTCTTGTTATATTTTATGCTTTATATGCTTATAACATTCTATATGCGATTTTTCACATAACATTCTATATGCGATTTTTCACATTTTGAGTACATTTTTGTGTACTATCCAGATATTTATTTTTCCTTTGTGTCTAGAAGCATACATTGCAATTATGACCAACTTTAAGTAATTACATGATGATTCCTGATTTTTTAACACAATGGTGTTGACAAAACGGGAATCATCAAAACATCACTATCTTTCTTAATATTGATATTCTCTTTAAACCCATATTTTGTTGCAATTTTGAAGTTTTAACTTACTATATTTCAAATGATATTTTTGTCACTTTAATTTGGCTTATATATTTTTATTGACCATTATTAATCAGCAGAGAGTAATTAACAAAAGTTAACAAAAAAAATTTCTTAAAGGAATTAAACGATGTGTCAACACATGTTAAGTGGGTGTGCCAATACTTTTGCCCACTTATTTTCACACATTTTTCAGAGTAGTCATTAAACTTCTAATTAATTCATCAAAAAAACAAGTCGACAAATGTTTGACATTATAATTAAATTTAATCATCGCACAGAACCCAATCTGAGACGCCATGGCATAAAGTAGAGAGGTTTCTCTTCGAGTGATAGGTCAGGGAATTTTCTTTGCACAGATTTTATCCATCATGGATTCCTGGATCTATGAGTACATTGTCACAACAGCTCTTATTACTGGTCTCTTACAAAACTGACCATAATTCCCAGGGCATTCCCTGCTAAAGTCTTACATCAGAGAGCTCTTTGGTATACAACTAGTAATTTCCTACACAGTCACTGCAGATGTCATCGGCATTGAAGCAGTTAAATTTTACATGAACAAGATACCCAAGTACAAAGTATAATGCCCAACCCTCATAAATGCCCAACATCTATTATACTTATTACCATACTTACCAACATTATTTTTAAATTTGATAACCAACATTATCGATAATCCATGGTAATAGCATTACTGAACAGTTCCCACGCATCATTTTATTTTAAAAACGTTTCATCAATGACATGTTTTTCATTTTTACAGGCTCCAGAAAAGAACTTCTAATGGTTAAGCATTCATCAACGACCTTTACCCCTTGCCATCAATTTCACTTTTAAATTATGTTTAAATTATTTAGTAAAATAATGCATTAATTTATAGATTTATTTATTCAAAATGCAAAGTGTTTGGAACCAACTCTTAATTACTTTTATCAATACCATCATGATTTAAACTACTTTAAATTTACACTATATAATAAAAAAAATATTTTCCTATTCATATTTAAATGCTTATTTTATATTCATTATAAAAATAATTTTATATTTAAAAATAAAAGTTTCGTAACAGGTTTGTAAGAATTTAGTTAATAGTATCAATGTCAAGTAATTTAACTTATAAATTTACTTGTAATTTATGATAATTTTACTTATAATTTATGATAAGTTTACTCATTAGATACATATCTTTAGTTTATCTTATTTCAGGTGATCAAACTTTTTTACGATACTAAATTTATAAAACGACTATTTCACTGTAAAATGTATGCTTGAAAAGATGCGCGTGAATATTTTAATGGCTAGTAAAGCATTTAAATATAATAAATGATTTTTTAGAAAATGAAGTTGAGGTGTATGAAATCAAAGATGAGATACAGTTTGATGACGAAGTAGAAAGCACTCCTACGGATATAAATGGTGGGACATCAGATAAACCTGCCGAAATTGTAACTGAAACTTCTACAGGTAATGTTGTTGAAACCTCTGAGGATGCTACTCCTGTTAAAGTAGAGGATGTTGTAATGGACGCTACTCCAGAAGACTCCAAATCGGTCGATATTGCAACAGAAGTTACACCTGTTAATGAACCTGAAGTCACCATGGAAACAGAAACAGTAAAAGTCGAGTCTAAAATTAGTCACAGCGAGGATGAAGTTGTAAATCAACCCAAAACAACCAATCCTGAGGTTTTAGGCGAAGCTCCTGAAGTTGAAATGGATAAAGAAGTGACTAAAGAATTAGTTGACGAAGAGGCACATTAGATACTTTTATTTGTGTTTTTTCATATTCATTGGCAAGTATGGCTAAATATCTGCGCACGGATATTTAAAACGATATTAAATCTTTTTTAACGACTAGATATCTGTTTATAAATGTGTATAAATAAACTTACCGATTGTGGGAGAATTTTAAACTTGTATTGGTTTTTCTCTTTTGTTCTCCTGGAGAAATTTATTTTAGCAATCAAATCAAAATTTTTAGCGACGTTAAGCAAAATAAATATTTGTATAGTGAGCCTAATATTCAACTTTTTATTCAAATTTACCCAAATACGGTTTCAAAGTTAGTTTTTTGATACGATTTTTTTTTTTCTTTACCTGCAATCCAACAGTTGTTTGATAAAATCATGAAAGTACTAAGCGCCAAATTCATCATGCGTTTTTAATTTACGTAGTTACATTTTTATTCCATGTATCGTGAACCGTGAAGGTTAAGAAATATTTAAATAATTAAAATTTGAAACAGTAAAAATGAATTTCATCACAATTATTTTTGAATTTTGGTCAAAGTAACCCTGATCATTAAATTTGTTTTGTGTTTAAATCTAAGTAATTCTGTTTCCAGGTAAATGCATCCCAAAACAGCGTGGTCAGTTACAGCTATAAAAATTAAGATCTGTATTTTAAAACCATAAAGAAATGCTTTTTTTGTTGTTGTTGTTGTTTTTTGATACATGAATGTTCTAGCAACAATTAAAAGAAAAGAAAACAAAGTTAACAATAAATTGAAATTTTTCACGAATACTTTAAGTTTGAACATTTTTATAAATTTTTTGGGATTTTTAAGAATATATGTCATAAATAGTGGTTTTTTAGACTAAGTTTGTAAATCCGATCTAGTTAACTTACCTTTTATATACTAAATACATGAATTTAAGTAAAGAGAAACTTTTAAAATGTGCAATTCAACGTGTTTTTGGGGTACGTTATTTAAAAACTTTATCAGAATCAATCTTTTTCGGGAAACGTTAAATTCAATCTGTCAAAGTCCCGTTTGAACAGTTTTTAAAAATTCTAGACCCGATTATGGCATTTACAATGTGATATATGAAATTAATATGTGATATATGAAATATTATGAAATTAATATTAATCGAAAATATTAATAATAATAACATGATTAATAATAAATATTAAATGTTATTAAAAATCTCAGAGTTCTTTTATTTTAAAGCAGGGATGGCGGCTCTTGGAAAATATTATGGCGGCTCGCGAGCCGCATACGGCTTTTTTCCAAATTGTTATATACTAATATATTTCCATATAATTATTTCCATCATTCTTATTGTCATAAAACTTGCAAAAATGGATAAAGTAAAAGAAAACAATAGTTCGCTTCGCAAAATAAGGAGGAAAATAAAAACTAAAGACGAAAACAGAATATTTCATAATGATTGGAAAGAAAAATATGCATTTATTGAAAGAAACAATAAACCTATATGTTTAATTTGCAATATAGAACTTGCTCATAACAAGACATGCAATGTTAAACGTCATTATGAAACAAAACATAAACAATTTTCTGAAAAATATCCGTTAAGATCAAATTACAGAAAGAATAAAATTGAATTGCTCAAAACGAAAAATAAAAATCAACAACTAAATATTTCATCTTACAGCCAAGAATCAATTAATACAACAGAAGCAAGTTTTGTTATAGCATGGAATATTGCCAGAGGTAAACATCCTTATACCAATGGAGAATTTGTAAAGCAAAACATTTCAGATGTCCTGTCGGTTTTAGATCCTAGTAATAGCAAAATCCAAAGATTAGTATCACAAATTCCTATTTCTCGACATACAACCGAAAGAAGAATATCTGAGATTAGTATTGATGTTGAACAGCAATTACTAACGATTTAAAAAACTGTGAAGCATTTAGTTTAGCTGTAGATGAATCAACAGGTATTCAAGACAAGCCTCAAATGGCTGTATTCGTTAAATATGTGACTTCAGACGTAATTGTAAAAGAAGAGTTACTAGATTTAGTTGAGTTGAAAGACACAACTCGTGGAGTTGATATTAAGGAAGCCCTTGACAAAGCTCTGCTTAAAGCTAATGTACCTATCAACAAGCTTGTTAGTGTTGCTACAGATGGTGCATCAGCAATGGCTGGAAAACATTTAGGACTTATAGGCTTATTAAAAAGTGACCCTAAGTATCCAGAATTTATCCCGTTCATCGAGAACATTTAGATGCAAAACATTTTAACTTTCCAATTGTTTTTAAATCTGTTTTAAAAATTGTAAATTATATTCGAGCAAATGCAAAAAATCACAGACAGTTTAGAAACTTTATAAATGAATTGGATCTTGCTGATGAGCCAAGTGACGTGTCATTTTTCTGTTCTGTAAGATGGCTTTCAAGTAGTGATGTTGTTTATAAATTTGTAGAACTGTTAGAGCCAATTAAATGTTTTTTGATTGAAAAAGAAAAGACATTTGAAATCCTAGACGATATAAATTTTGTGCAAGATCTTTTATTTTTGACTGATATAATGCAACATTTAAAAAGTCTGAATTTGTTTCTTCAGGGAAAAGAAAAAAATATATCTGATCTTGCGCAAACGATATTTAGTTTTCAAAAAAAAATTATTCTTTTTCAGAAAGATTTTAGCTTGAAAAAATTTAATCATTATCCTCAAATGAAGATGATTACTTCTAATCCTTCAATTCAGTATGATGACGATAAGATTGAATCATACTTGGACAAACTAAAGGATTTACAAAAAGACTTTCAAAAAAGGTTTAAAGATTTGCATGAACTAAAATCTTCTTTAGGATTTATAGTAAATCCTTTTTTAATTAATATTATTAGTAATGGCTGTCCAATTCCTAAAAAAATGCTTGAAGATATATCTCAATTTGAAATGGAACTACTAGATCTCCAAGAAAATCAAAATCTACTTATGCTGCATAAAACAATAACTTTTATGGAATTTTGGAAGATAGTTCCCGAGGTTAAGTATCCTCAACTTAAAAAGATTGCCATAAAATTCATTTCAATTTTTGGTTCAACGTATACATGTGAATCTTTATTTTCTACTATGAAATTTGTCAAATCAAAGTATCGTGCAAATCTAACCAGTGAGCATTTGTCTGAGTTACTTAAAACAGCCACTACAAGTTTGAAACCAGATTTTAAGAAACTTACCAATAAAGTTATGAGTATTAGTTTGATCAAAGTAAAAAATTGATAAAATGATGAAAAAGTTATTTCTTGATTGTAAAAATCAAGTAAAATAATCTAATTTTAGTGTTGTTTTTTAATTATTATTTCATTAATATAAGTATTGTTATAATTTTGTTAATTAAAAAAAAGTTTATGATCAGCATGTGCTTGTGCAAAAATCTATCATAAAAAAGATCAGTGTGTTGCACAGCACATAGCCAGTGTGTTGCACAGCACATAGCCAGTGTGTTGCACAGCACCTAATTGTGTGCTGTGCAAAATCAGTGTGATCATGTGATTGTCGAAAATTATAGAAATGATTTTTTAGTCTGAAGGGAATTTTATAAAATAAATCAGATATAATGGCATTGTAAACAAAACTTTAAAGGAATAGTTTTTTCTTTAAAAAATTTATTGAGTGTTTTAAAACAATTAACTAAATTCAATTGTATACATATTTTACTTAAATCTTTAAAAAATGTCTTTTTGTATCCAAGAAATATCTAAATTTCATATTAAAATGATATTGTTGAATAGTAATACAACAATTATTTCCACCCCTTATATTAGGAGCATATGGAATTTTCTAAATAATTTGTATTTTCTAAAAAATTTTCTTTAAAAAAATGATTTTAAATAGTGAATTACAAATTGTTGTTTTTATATGAAACCAAGAAAATGGGCTAGTAATAGAAGTTTCTTATTTTTTGGGTAGTTTTTTTTTTACTTATCTATTACGAAAGTCTCTTAAAATTCAGATTATCAAAAGAAAGAGTATAAAAGTTTCTTATATAAAAAAACAAACATGAAGTTGTTGCGGCTCTTCGGCTCACGTAAGTATATAAATGCGGCTCTTGTGACAAAACGTCTGGCCAGCGCTGTTTTAAAGTACAACTATTTTTCCTTTGGAGATTGCATCGGTCAGTAAAATTTAGATTGCACTTTGACGGATTGGACTTAGTGTTTTCCATCTTTTTTACTATACTACCACAAAGTTTATACAATTATCTCATTGAAATATTTCCGTCATTTCTTTCCTGCACCTGCTAATTAGATCATTTCTGGATTTCGTCCATTTACATTGCTGCAATTAGACTTCATAACATTAAGACAAGTTTATAACATTAAGGCACTGGACACTACTTTAAAGCTTTACATTTTAAGCCTCGATAATTATATTGAAGCATACATTTTTAAAAAAATTTTAACTTCCTCTTTTTTTTTTTTTTTTTGCAGTATATTCTTATTACATGAACTTTATTTATTTGTTTCTTTTTATGGTTTTAATTACAGTTAATACATAGTTTGTTGTCATTGAACCATGTACTTGGGTTGTCATGACAACAATTATCTTGACATGACACGTGTTACCATGTAACAAGTGTCATGTCAAGATAATTTAGGCTTGACCTTTGGTTGTCATAAAACCTGGTATTTCTTCCAGTTAGATACTTTTTTCATAAACTTCATCAATTATTTTTATTGCTTGTTCGAACTTTGATTTCTAGTAACTTGCTGAACCACGTCTTTTATCAGGCGAAAAAATTAAGGGAGATGGCTGTTTCTCTGCTTCAATACAGTTTTCTGCTTTTTTATATCATAAATTCAATAATTTTCCCTAACACTAACTCTTCTAGCAGATTTTTATAATAGTTTCTTTGGTTGTCCATTTGTCCCATATATTGGCTAGATTTAACACAAATGGTTCTTTGTTTAAGAAACAGATACTGAAAGCATCGAGTCTTTCTGTTTATAATACTCGCTATGAATATTCTAATTTACTTGGTCAAGAAGTTAAGTAACTCCTGTTGTGTCTGGTGGAGTGACACAGAGACAAATTTTTTTTAACTCAAGAAAAGATAAAACATCAAAGTTTAGTCTTAAGCTATGTCTATCTGACAATAAAATGATAGTTCACTTAAGATTTTTTTCATATAAGTAGACATCAAATACTTTCAATGCT